CTATTCCATCCTATTCCATTAACCCTGCTGAAATATTGAACCTTTTGTTCCATTAGTGTTAGGAGGATTTTAGGAAAGAAATAAATGCAACTGACATTTTATAATGGAATATAGTGTTTTCAGCCATATACAAAATCTTTGATGCATTTTGCCATATAATCCAACTGTGTGTTTATTGGTGTTGTTGATGTTCACTGTCATTTAGGCACAAGATCTCAAAGAAGGAGAAGAAACTGAGCACTCTTTCTAAGAAAGAAAAGCGCTCGTACCTGGCTGTGGACAAAGAAGACGAGATCATTGGATACGTCGTGCCAGTCTTCAGAAGCAGGTGATTGCATGGTTTGCAAGTTTTAATAATTTTGTGTTTTTTTTTGTTTTTTTAAATAATTTTTTAGTTTCAGTTGACTATATTATACCTGACTGAAAATTCTGGCATCGTCTATCCTTCATGTCTATGAAACTCATTAGACCTTTTTTTTTTTTTAAAGTTAAGTCAGGAGTTGATCTTACGTCCCTTTGCTGACTAATTAAAAAGTGTACGTCTAGACTAATATGGATCTCATATGTCAAACAGTATTAGTCAGTATTGGGTCAGGCTGCTCATTAACTTAATCTTTTCCATTAGTCATTTGGCTACCCAGGATCTGATGGAGACTCAGGAGGAGGTGAAGGAGGAGGGTATGGGGTATGTCGTCATGAGGAATCTGTTCTCCAGGGAGACCGACTTCAAGATGAGAACTGTGAAGAAGTCCAGAGAGACCAGTTTGAGAGAGTCTGCTGAGCGCATGGCTCTGAGCAGGAAGGTTTGACCTAAAATGTTTAACGAGATGCTTATATAAAACATTGTGCCTTTAACTGTTAAAAAAGTTTGATGCAACTTTTTGTATCCCGAAACTGTATATTGAGGCTTATTGTAGAAGAAGTTAGTCAGACTAACTATACCAGCAGTGTCAGTATTTGTATGATTGTTTTATCTTAGTCCTAATTTATGTTGTTTTTTACACAAGGTGCATGAGAAAGTAGAATTCCAAAAGAAGATGAATCCAGACAGTTTGACTCACCCCCCGGAGTTCATTCTGAAACCACGTGGCCAGACCGTGTGGGAGGGGAAGAGTGTGACGCTGCACTGCACGGTGGCTGGATGGCCCAAACCCCGCGTGGCCTGGTCAGAAACACTTCAATTCCAGCAGTACTGGATAGAAATAATCATTAAACCCAGGTTTAATTTAATTCTGTTCTGTTTCCATAACTTTTCAGGTACAAAAACAATGTTTTAATTGATGCTAAGTCTCACCCTGAGAAGTACTTCACAGAGAGCCAATACAACATGCATTCTCTGGAAATCAAGAAGTAAAGAAAGTTTTTATTTGTTTAATAATGTTTGCGAAAGTTAGTTTGTGATTCTTTATTATATTGCACTAAATGCGTGGGATGATTTCATTTCTTAGTAATATCAGATGCATGGAAAAGATCAACATTAAAGGCATGACTGTTATTTTTGATTCTCTTAAAATTATATATTATATAACTACTGTATATTATATTGAAATTAAATTAAAATTATTCTTGTGGGTTGCAGTTGTAATTTTAGCGACACTGCTGAGTACCGAATCTCTGCACTTAACGTGAAGGGAGAAAGTTCTGCGTTTGCCCCTGTCATTATTAAAAGTGAGTATTTAACTTTTTTCAAATGCATTTCAAATCTTGAATCATTTTTGAATAATGTTTGCAAAAAAATAATAATGTGCTCAAAATCAAACTGTTGTTTATTGATGGCTCAGATCTGGCCTTCAAAAAATAAGAAGCAAATCATGAAGATTGGATTGAACATATTTTATTAACCTGAATTATTAAAAAAAATTATATATATTTTTAATTAATGAAGGACATAATTAAGGGGTCATCTGCAGCACAGGCGTAAGTTGTGCTCATATTCTACTAAATGTAGAATCTGTGCTTATACTTGTGTGTAAGTCACTCTGCTCTGGTTTACAGCTGCTGTCCTCTTGACGTTCTATTTTAAGGCTTTTACAGCACCTCAGTTTGCCTTGTGCTATTCTTTCCACTGCCTCTGCACAGGCTAATGCTATGAAATATCTTAACTGGGCCTTTATTATTTAATATTGTTTGGTGTATCAATCATGTACATCAAGGTCAACCAGAATATTTAAAGAGAAGCAGTTGGTTCTGTTTGCAATGCACCATGCAGTTATGCAGATTCATTATACATTTTTCACTTAGAATGCACTAAAATGTTCATTTGCATTTTCATTCTAAAGGATTCAAAGAAGGAGAAGAAGTGACTGAAAGGCCCCGTAAGTTTCCTATACCATATAATTCTCTTTTATGATCACATCTGTACTCAAAAAAGTGTTTATATAAGTACAAATGTAATGTTTTGGTCTTCTACAATTCTACACCTCATTTATAACAGTTTTGTTTTCATTTGAATGTGCATAATATAAATCATTTGACCTTTAAGCTGTGTCTATTCATATTCGCTCAGATGGTTTCAGCCCTGAATATGGTGTGACCTTCAACACTACCATCATTGACAAGTTTGACGTTTCTTTTGGCCGTGAGGGAGAGACCATGAGTTTGGGCTGTACAGTCATTGTCTACCCCACTGTGAAGCGCTACCAGCCAGAGATAGTGTGGTACAGAAATGGTAAGTATGAATGCTAAGTGCACCATGCATTTACTGTGCATTTTAAAAAGTTACTTGCAAATTTACTGAAGCATAAGTCACCATCTCCTAACTATTGTCCTCCTATGTGCTCTTTATATGCAGGAGCTATTAATTAAAGTGCAGTTTACAGTCTATAATGATTCCTTTTCTTTATCAGGTGTCACCTTGTCAGCTTCTAAGTGGGTGCACATGCATTGGAGTGGTGAGCAAGCCACTTTGACACTTGTGCATCTGAACAAAGAAGATGAGGGTCTCTACACTCTGCGTGTCAACACCAAGTCAGGCTTCGACACCCACTCTGCCTATGTGTTTGTCAGAGGTGAGACCTGTCTGTATGCTTGTGCAGAGTACTCATAAGTTGAAAGGAAATGTCTTATTGTCCTTGCACAAGCTGTGTGCACTGTATCTTTAAGAGTTACCACATGTATTAGGTTTCTCTCTGGGAATGCTGCTTCTATCTTTGGTTGATGGCACTAAAGGCAGCCAGTGTGAAGTACAAGTTACACTACCATTTAAAAGTTTGGGGTCAGTAACTTTTAAAAAAAAGAAATTAATACGTTTATTTAGCAAGGTCACATTAAATTGATCAAAAGTGACATTAAAGACAATTAAAAAGATTTCTATTTCAAATAAATGCTGTTTTTGTGCTTTATATATCAAAGAATCCTGAAAAAAGTATCCTGGTTTTAACAAAAAGAATAATAATAATGATATGAAATGTTTCTTGAGCAACAAATTGAGGAGATCAGATCTCTGTGTGGAGCACTGGCTGTTGTCAGACTCACTGTCATGTCATTCCAGACCTGAATGACTGATTTTTTTTTGTTGAAACACAAAAGGAGATGCTATTTAGAATGTTAGTGACGGAGTCTCAGTGTCCGTTTCATTGCATCTGTTTCATACAATGAAAGTGAATGGAAACTGCTGATGCTGTTTTACTTATTATCTTTTTTTTTCTGCTACGAAAGGAAGACATTTATATACAGTGGTGGCCAAAATGATTAGAACACTAGTATTTTCACCAGCTAAAATTTTTTTTTAAGTCAGTTATTTCTATCTTTTGCTGTAGTGTGTCAGTAGGAAATATCAGTTTACATTTAGAAACTTTCATTTTGTCGTTAATTGTAATAATCCAGTGAGATTTTTGTTGGACAACAACAGCCAGTGCTCCACACAGAGATCTGATTTCATCATCATCATCCAGTCTGTCTAGAATGACATGAAGAAACTGAACAAACTGAGACAGACTAAATCCAGAAGAACTGTGGCAATGACTCCAAGATGCTTCAAGAAAAGAAACCTACCTGCAAAGCTACCTGAAAAACTGTGCGCAAGTGCACCTAGGGCAAAAGATGCTTTAAATGCAAAAGATGGTCACACCAAATGTTGATTTAATTTAGTTAATAGAAGTTAATTGATAAAGAAAATCTATTAATTACATTATTTTTGACAGCATCCTCATTTTACAGCATTTTTACACAAGTGCCTAAAACTTTTAACAGTACTGTAGCTTTGCAGGTATAGGTTTCTTGAAGCATCTTAGAGACCCTGCAACAGTTCTTCTGGATTTAGTCTGTCTCAGTTTGTTCAAATCAAATTTTATCCATTTTATTTGATTTTAGGCTTGTTGTTGGCTCGTGAATGGTACAAAATAAATGGTTTTAGAAAGTATTTGTTTTTGACATCATCTTATAAACCCTTGAGGCTTACATGATGAGATCATTAAAACACTTCCTAAGTTAAGAGAGAGCTGAAATTAGCTAGCTGTGTTCACAGAGTGGAGGCGCTGTCGTGTATCTTACTTTGCCATAATTAGATGTGACAGCAGGGTGCAAATCAAGCTGATTTGTGTGTATCAGATGCTGATGTGGAGGAGGAGGGGGTTCCTGTTGCTCCGCTTGATGTGCGTTGTCATGACGCTAATAAAGACTATGTGGTTGTTACCTGGAAGCAGCCAGCAGTGGAGGGCAGCAGTTCCATCATTGGCTACCTTATTGACAGGTGAGTCATTCCATCAGCAATGAGACCATAGAGCTCACATCAGTGCTCCTCATTTAAATATTTCTGTACAGGTTGGAGGTGGGCACTCATCATTGGACCCAGTGTAATGACACTCCAGTGAAGTATGCCCGTTTTCCTGTCACTGGGCTTATTGAGGGCCGCTCCTACACCTTTAGGGTCCGAGCCCTCAACAATTCTGGTGTGAGCTGCCCATCCCGGGCCTCTGACCCTGTAGTTGCCATGGATCCATCAGACCGTGCCCGCCTTAGAGGTGAAGGATATATGAATAAAGACTAAAGAACAAAGAATTAAAACTGAAGAACAAAGCCAATCAGGTTTGCTTATGAGAATATGTATGTTTTTTTGTTTTTTTTTCACAGCTGGTCCCTCGGCTCCATGGACTGGAATGATCAAATTCACTGAGGAAGACCCCACAGGTAAAATAATACACTAACTTGATAATAGTACACTACTGTTCAAAAGTTTGGGGTTTGTAAGATATTTTTGTTATTTAATTAAGTTTTTAAAAGAAGTGTCTTATGCTCAACAAAGCTGCATTTATATAGCTGCATTAATGCAGTAAAACAGGTTTTTAAAATTTAAAATAACTTTTCCATTTGAATATATTTAAAATGCAGTTCATTCCTGTAATGACAAGGCTGAATTTTCAGCATCATTACTCCAGTATTCAGTGTCACATGATCCTTCAGAAAAATCATTCTAATATGCTGATTTGGTGCTCAAGAAACATTTCTTATTATTATCACAGTTGTAATATTTAATATTTCTGTCAAAACTTAGATTTTTTTTTCAGAATTATTAAAAACAGGATTATTTGTTCAAAAGAACAGTATTTATTTGAAATGGAAATCGTTTGTAACACTTTTAATATCTTTACCGCCAGTTTAATGAGTCCTTGAATAAAAGTATTAATTTATTTTTTATTTTATTTTATCTTATTTTTTTTAAATCCTACTGACCTCAAACTTTTGAATTAATTAAATAAAATACAGACAATTCAAATCAGTTGTTTTAAATTCCTCAAGTACATCTAGGCATTGCAGCATTACAATGGATGTTATAAAAATGGATATTCATTTATAGATTTTCTTGCATTTAACAGTATTATTAACTAAAGATAGACTTGAAGTTAAGTGTTAGATGACGGCAAAGACAATCAAAATGTAAAAAGAGAGGGGAAATAATGTGTGGAGGTCACTGCAGCATTATTTCTCTTGTCTCTTTCAGTGGGGGTGGTTCCTGGTCCATCTACTGACCTGGCTGTCACTGAGGCTACTAAGAGTTACGTGGTACTGAGCTGGAAGCCACCCATCCAGAGAGGACATGAGGGTGTCATGTATTATGTGGAGAAGGTGATGCAGAATGTACGATATAAAGTATTTGATTTTTACCTTGAATTGAGTTTTTTTGACTATCAAATGTTTTCCCAGTGCTTGGTGGGTACAGATACATGGCAGAGGGTGAATACTGGGATGCCAGTGAAGTCCCCCCGCTTTGCCCTGTTCGACCTTGCTGAGGGCAAATCCTACAGCTTCCGTGTCCGTAGCTGCAACTCTGCTGGAGTTGGAGAGCCATCAGAAGAAACTGGGGCGACTACTGTGGGAGACCGATTGGGTGAGTATTAGCACTTGACACAAAAAAAGAAAACGGGTTAGTGATGCATATTCTGATTTGCATGATAGAGAGTATGTTCCGAGACTGCTATGACAAGTGCCTCAAATGGGGTTCTAATCCTACGTGGCATGAATTTGGGATGAGACTAGCAGTATCAGTTCAGAAAAGTACCATTTAAAAGTTTGGGGTCAGTAATATTTTATTAATACTTTCATTCCAGCACGGACACATTAAATTGATCAAAAGTGACCGTAGAGACATTTATCATGTTACAAAAGATTTTTCTATTTCTCTCAAAATTCCTATTCATCAAAGTATCTTGAAAAACATGTATCTTTGTTTCCACAAAAATATTAAGCAGCACAACTGTTTTCAACATTGATAATAATAAGAAATGTTTTTTGAGCACCAAATCAGCATATTAGAATGTTTTCTGAAGGACCATGTGACACTGAAGACAGGAGTAATGGCTGCTAAAAAATTCAGCTTTGCCATTTTAAACGGTAGTATATGTCTAGAGAAATGTTTCGTTTAAAATAACAAAAACGTTTTTCATGATAGGCATGATCTTGTAAATGTAAGTGTGAGTATGGCTTGCCTGGAAATTATATGAACCCCATTCTTTGTCTTTTATTTTATATAATGTTTTTTATGGTTGTTGTTGTTTTTAGACCTGCCCTCTGTCCCAGGGCCTGTTATTCCCATCAGAAACACTGACACGTCTGTAGTTGTGTGCTGGGGGGCATCTAAGGAGGTTAAGAATCTGGTGGGCTATTACATCGAGGTCAGCGTCAGTGGCAATGGTGTTTGGGTTCCCTGCAACAACAAGCCAGTCAAAGGCACTAGGTATGTCAATCAGGTGACCTGAGATAGAAAACTGCATTGTTATTAAAACTACAGATATTTTTCTAATGAATTACAATAAAGCAGTTTATATAGATATTTATACCAAGCTATTATTATGTAACTGGTCATAACTTGTGTTTTGGTGTGCAGGTTTGTGTGCCACGGGCTGAACACTACGGACAAATGTGTGTTTAGGGTGAAGGCTGTGAACGCTGCAGGATACAGTGGAAGCAGCGCCGAATCTGAGGCCTGCATTGTACAAGCAAGCATTGGTGAGTATTGCTGTCTACAGCAGAAGTCTTGAAACTTTTTCATGCCAAGGACCCCATATAGAGACTGAACAGGTATAACTTAACAAGTAGCATGGCCTGTAATTTACATACTTAATTAAGCGTTCATCACAAAACTGTTACAATAGTCATCATATTCTTTTTTTTTTTCTCAATATTTTTCTGAACTGTAGCTTTTGTTCAAATGAAAGGGATAGTTCACCCAAAAATAAAAGTTCTGTCAACATTTACTCACTGTCTACTTGTTCCAAACCTGTATTAGTTTAAACACAAAAGGAAGATATTTTGAAGAATGTTGGTGAACAAACAGTGGACCGTAGCCATTGACTTCCATAGTATTTTTTATCCATTTCATTTGAACTGTTTGGTTACCAACATTCTTCAAAATATCTTTTGTTTTCAACAGAAGACAGAAACTCATACAGGTTTGGAACAACCTGATGGTGAGTAAATGATGACAGAATTGCCATTTTTGGGTCAACTTTCCCTTTAATTTGAACCATGTGTGTAAGGCATCCAGTGTGTAGATTTCATGTTGTCTATTGTAGCTTTGGGAACGAAACCATTAAAAAGGCATTTCATATCTGTGATTCATTCTTTCCCTGATGTATGCCAGCACTTAGAACCATACTGTCCTTGACTAGTACAATCCATATTCCATATTCCTCTAAATTAGCATCACCCTCTCACTTAGCTTTCATTGCCATTGAAAATTCACCATTATACTGTATATAATGCCTGTGCTATTCAAACTTTGCATACAACCAAGCTAAAAATACAAAGCCTGCATGCTGCATGAACATATTATTAAAGCAAGTCCTGCCTCTGCGTGCCCTGCCCTGCTATCAGAACTCCTTTAATTCCCTTAGAAACACGCAGTCATTACCTGAGTGTATCATGCATGACTCAAACATCCAGGTACTAAGATTAACAAAGCAACCATGTGAAAGAGACAATAGGGGTATCTCGTTAACTATCCCAGACAGCAAAATGCACGTTGACTGAAAATCAGACAGTGTGCCTCTGTGTTGTCATGCAGGTGTGTCTGTGCTGTGTGTCTGTTTGCTGAATAACTGCAGGGTGTGTAATGCAAACCTATGCATGAGCAGGATGGGTGGTAGAACAAGCTGAGCAAAGGTCATCCTTCGTTCTGAGCACAGTGAGTATAGACCTGTTCAGACTGTGACAAATCTGTGTATCATTGTGTCATGGACAGGTGGATGAATCTTGGTCACAATTGTCATTTTACAAAATTGTAATTTTCTGCTCTAAAGGACAATATTTTTTATTTGAAGAAATGTTATCAGTAGTTTATAGAATAAAACAAAAATATTCATATTATTCAAATACATTCCTAGAAATAATTAATCCAGAGAAACGGATCATTTTGCAGTAGTTTATATATATATAATTACATTTTCCCCATTCATTCACTATATTACTACTTTATTTCAATTATGAAAAGCACACAAAATAAAATATATTCAAAAAAAATAATATTTTTGTACTCCAGTTAAGAGAATTACATTTAGATTTCAGTAGCTTACTTTTATATATTTTTGTATCACAATTAAAAAAAAAAACCTGTAGAACAGAATTGGTTTTCTTGAAAATGTCACAAAATGAAGAAAACTTTTCTAATAGTCTTCATTTTAATAATGCAAAATATATTCTATTTTCTACTATTTTTGTGGTTAAATTTCACCTAGACAGCATATATAACAGGATTTTTGTTATATAACAAGTGCTGCATGCTTACTGACTGTTTGTATGCAGAGTCTGAACAGCATGAAAATATTCTAAAATTATAATTTTATTATTATTATTTATTATTACGAACACATAACCGCTAAATTTCAGGTCATCAGACTTTGATATGCTGATGTCCCACTGTGAAGATACACAACAGATCTTGTGCTCTTTCAAGAAGAGAATATGCATTAATTCTTTGTTTGGGTAACATTTAAAACAGCCAATGTTTGAATGTTTTGTTGGGCTAAACTAAGACTTCTCTTTCTGCAGCCGTCCCAAGCCCTCCCACCGGTGTGACCCTGCAGGAGAGGGTCCGTGACTACATGGTGCTGGGCTGGCAAGCCCCTGCTAAGACTGGTGGAGCTGACATCAAAGGTTACTACCTGGACTACAGAACGGTGAAGGATGGAGTCACAAGCAAGTGGCATGAAATTAACCTCCAGGCAGTCACTGGCACATCTTATAAAGTAGGTCATAATATCACAATGCTGGATTTATGACGATTTGTGGATTTATTTAGTTTTATAAAATGAAAAGCTTTTGTTCACATTCACAATGAGCATGGTGCTGAAGACTGATCTGAATAACTGTCTCATTGACTTAGGTGACAGACCTGAAGGAAAACGTATTCTACCAGTTCCAGGTGCGTGCAGTCAATCAGGCTGGTATTAGTGAATCCTCCATACCCACTGTCCCCTTGGAGTGCAAGGAGTGGACTGTGGCTGTTCCAGGTAAACCAGTCAGCATTTATGTCAGGCAATGAGATTTTTAGAGACGTTCATCCTTGTTTAAATCAGTATATGGGAGAGATTATAATGGGGAGGAGACAGACCCACTCATAGGAAAATGATCAAGAAGACATCAAGAAGAAGAAATCATAATGCTCAATATGATATATGAGCTACAGGAGTGTAAATTGCCTTTTTGAGCTTGGTTACTCTATAACAGTGGTTGCTAAGTTTTTGACTCTAAGGCCCCTTTTTATCCACACCAGTATTCAAGGTCCAATGACTTTTCCAGCTGTTCATTATTTAATAAATTTGGATTAAGAAATAAAAAAGGAATAAGAAGGATAATTTTTAACTGTTTTTTTTGTTTTGTTTGGCATAACTGGAAAAAAAGTTAATTATACAAATGACAATGGCGTTTTATCCAAATTACCAAGATTTTATTAATTTTGCCTGCTTTAGAAATCAGACTTTTAAAATTTGCCTCATACATCCATGTTTTTCAAGACTGTGGGAATGCCTGTTCCAAAAAACAAAAAAACTTTGAACTTTATCTTGAAAAAAATATATGATTTATTAGTTAATTACAGTAATGTATTTATTTATTTGTGCTTATTTTAATGCTTGTTTTTTCTTATTTTAAAAATGTTCAAATCTTTTAACATTCTTAGGACTGAAAGATGCTATACTGCCTATTAACTGGTGTTGATTTGCCACTGAAGGGACTTGGGTTCAATTTAGTCAGCAATAATCACAGGTTTTTTGTCCATTTTACCTGCGGTTTACACAGGTGTTTCTCTGTGTGCATTTGACTTTTTTAACAAACCCAGGCCCTCCTCTTGGCCTCCGTGTCCAGGAGGTGCGTAAAGACTCTATGGTGCTTCTGTGGGAACCACCTACATTCAATGGCCGCAGTGCTGTGACTGGATATTATGTGGACTATAAGGAAGAGAATGGCAGATGGAGATGTGTCCAAGAGAGATCCACAAAAAATACTTACATGAAGGTAATAAATTAGATTTTTTTTAAGTACACAATGAACTTTAACAAAACCACTGGCATTATTGAGATGTTCATGGACTTACTGGAGGTTACTGATGAAGGAACCTTCACATTCAACCTCATTGATGGCAAAGCAACTGGTCGCACCAGCTTAGTGCTTATCGGAGAAGGTGAGGTCATATTTTAATTTGTTTATTTTTTAGTCACTTTAATATTCCTACAGCTTAATGGTGCACACTAATATATATAAATTAAAATGTTTATATTTTTAAATTCAGAGGTGTTCAGAAGTCTGAAACCATTAGTTAAAATGCTTCTATTTCATAAATCATAATTCGTTTTTAAATAAATAAAATCATAATTTTTCGGTCACTCTGTAATTTTTCACTCGTAACATTTTGAGTAAATAATAATAATAATAATTATTATTATTATTATCATTAAAAGCATAACAATTTGAGTGAATAATTAGTGACATAGAAACAGTCTTAACGTATTTCTCATTTCTTTTACATCATAACTTTGTTTGTTATTAAATAATTTTAAATTGGATTTTGAATCCCAGATTTGAAGCCCACCATATATTTGTGTTCAACCCATTATTCAAACCAGTGAACCATTAGTACATCTCACTAGTACAGCAGCCTAACAGAGTTTTATATCAGTATGTCCTTTAGAGGGCAGAAGAGTACCGTTTATAACTCCAAATCCAAATGAACTAGACAGGTGGGGTGACAAGAAATGTGTTTTGTGATCTAGCTCTGGGCAATGCTTATGAATGGACTCTAAACAGAATTCAAAACTCAAAATAAGCTGTATTCTGCACGCTTTGATCATTTCCTTCTATTTTAAATAATGTTGTTTTACAGAGTTTGCTGAGCTTCAGAAGAAATCTGAGTTTGAGAGAGCAGAGTGGGTCAGAAGGCAAGGTACTCTGTCTTTACACTGTATTTGTTTGTGTTAAATCATATTTTAGTTGTTGAATGTCTAAAAATATTCTCCCACACACAGGCCCTCACTTTGTGGAGTATCTCAGTTTCGAGGTCACTCCAGAATGTGATGTGCATCTGAAATGCAAGGTAAGGCTCTAGGAATCAAAGATGGGAACATGAAACCATCTGTCAATGCCTCAGGCTGAAAAGATACTTGTTAAAATCCCTTTTTCCATCTTTCTTCTGCTATAGGTTGGAAACATCAAACCTGGCACTGAGATTGCCTGGTTTAAGGATGGAATTGAGATTGAAGAGGATGATGAGGATGCTAAGAAGATCGGAAAATCTGATGAAGTGTTGATCTTTGACATTGGCAAGGTCAGACTTGGTTGGGCAATGATAAGGCTGTGTTCGAGCTGGGATTCCAGCATCTGTATGGTTATTAAAACGAATGCATTTTTGCTGAATGCAGTATTATACATATGCTACAGGCTTTGCTACACAAAAAGCCACTCTCCTCTCTGACACACGGACTCATAAATGATGAGATATTTGCATAGTACTGAAGAATATGTTTCTTTTCTTTGTTCCTTTAGACTTAAGAAGATATAAGTTATTTCAAAAGCCTCCCTGAAAAGTAACCGTGTTTAAAATCAGCATGAAATGAAAATGTCCTTTCTTAATACATTCTCCTGGTCTTATTGTGCATGATCCATCCATATTTTTCAATGAAAAATGCTCTTTGTAATCTTTTATCCATATTTAATAACTCGCTCTGCCTCTAAAATGCCTTTCATTTTCGTCCGACATCACCTTCGTTGGAAAAATAGCTACTTAGGCTTAAGCTTGTTTTAAGCTACTTTTTACGTAATGCAACGTTCAAAAAGTCTTGGCAATAGTTAACGTAGCAATGTAGTGATGGTTAATGTTAATGAAATGAAGGATACAGCATTATTAGTAATACAATTACATTATTGAAGTAAAATAGCCCTTGAAGAAATATGTAATTGCATATGCACCTATGTTGGATTCTATCATGTTTATCATGCCCTCTACTTTGAACGGACAGGATGCAAAACCTATTCAATTATTATAACATTTATCAACATTTATGTCCATATATCAAAAATATATGGATCTTCCGTGTGTGAACCTTGGTTTTTAAAGGAAGCCATTTCCTGAATTCAATCAGATTTGGATGGCAGCTTTGTAAAGTAATGCAAATGATCATATTATGTGCAATCTGACCTCCATTTTGTAATATTAATGGGTTATAAATATTGAAAGCCATCTTAGTTTGTCTGAATTCAACTACCAATAAGGTGCCAGTCCAGTTGGACTGAGAGAGGGCTGGATTTAATGCATGCTGCAGAAGAGGGGCAAACTCCCTTGCCACTCCAGTAGGGGTCGCTGGCATTAACTGCAATGTTTGTTTGATTCACAGCTTGTTATTAAGAGCGAAAAGGCACAATGGAAAAAGAAACCTGCAACCGAAGAAAGTCCAAGCAAGCCAAAAGTCTGGAGCTTTGATTTATAAGTTGCCATCAGTGTCAATATGTTGTTATTTGTGATGGTGCTGTCTTTTTCTCTCTTACTCTGTTGGCCTGCAGCATCCTCCGCAGGAGAAAAGCTTGGCTTTTCGGTCTTTCCTGTTTCGTTTATTTAAATGTTGTTCAAAAAATGTTTTAACTTCTGATTCGTATTGATAAAAACTAGTGTCAAGTGTCTATGCCTCACTGTTCCCACAATTCCCCAACAGATTTCAAAGAAAGATGCTGGAGTATATGAGGTTAAACTGAAAGATGAAAGAGGAAAGGACAAAACTTTGCTGAACCTGACAGATGCAGGTAGGAGCCACGTTGTCAAAGGGGCCTGATCAAAATTCTGAATTTAAGGATTGGCATCCTTTCAGTTGAGATGGAATTTGCATCTCACAGGATGTTGAATTGGAATTTGAATTGGAATGACAGGTTGTGGAATTTACTGATTTGCAATTCAAACAGAATTTCATTAGTCCAGCACAGAAACAAAACCGGAAAAAATTACACCTTTATTTTGCTTGTTTCGCTCTATATGAAGACTTATTTAAAGAACTTATTTATGAGACTTATTATCTTATATTTAATTATTAATTATAGAAATTTGTAACACACACAATCACATACATATTTAATATGCAATTTAGGCATCATGTTGAAAAATTATATATATTATTTTTATTCTTTGAATTTTTGTCATTAAATTCCGATTTAAAAACAACTCACCTATCACCTATCAGTAAATGCATATTTAATTGTTGTCTTTTTTTTTTATCCATAGGCTATTTGAATGTGATTTATTATCTATTTTTTCCTAACAGGTTATCAAGCAGTGCTGAATGAAGTATTTAGAGTTATTGGTGAGTGTCATGCCATCAGTCCTTCACCACTCGTGAAGCGTTATTGAATGTACAGTAACATGATGCTCTCATGAACTCGAATCTGATCAGTGCATGTCATGTGATTTTCATGCATTTCTTTCTCTGTTCTTGTAGCCAATTCTTCAACCGAGCTCAAGGTTATGAGCACAGAACACGGAATTATTCTCTACTCATTCGTTGTGCACTATATTGAAGATCTCCGTGTTGGCTGGCTTCACAAGTAGGCATCATGGCGCCCTTCTCGATCTACCAGTGTGTGTGGGCTGTTTTAATGTGACTTCAGTGTCACATTAGCCACACTGAAACAGTTTCAAACTAAATTTCTTCCCAAAACTAATCCAATCCAAAGTTTTGCCAATTTGTTTGCTCACTGTACCGTATCACCATGGCCAATGACCTTGTGTGTTGCCCCTTTGTTTCTAACTGTTTCCAGAGAATCAAAGATCTCCCATTCAGACAGAGTGCAGTGTGGAGTTACCGGAGAACAGCTGTGGCTCAAAATTAATGAGCCCACCGAGAAAGATAAGGGCAAATATGCCATTGATATCTTCGATGGCAAAGGCAGCTTCAAGAGAGTTCTTGACCTGTCAGGACAAGGTAAGAGCTCAGGTGTTCCAACAAAATCGACCTTGCAGTACTTCTGCATTCATTAGAGATATTGTGAACTTTTGTTAAAGTTTACTGTGTTTATTGTGTTTATTTGTTTTTATAATATAAATGTTTTATTTTAATATATATATATATATATATATATAATTCCATATACATACCTGGTATTACCTTTTATATTTTTCTTTTTTAATTATTTATCCCCCTATCATTCCATTACATAGTATGGGAGGAAGCATTTGAAGAATTCAAGAGGCTGAAGTAAGTTTAAACTAATGAAAACTTCATATCCTATTAATGTGACAATGACACATCTACTTTTCTATGGTCAAGACCTCCTTGAATAAGCTGTCAGAATAATCCTAAAATAGACCCCCCCCCATGAGTATGTCACAGTAGGCTTGCAGTGAAGCATTTCCTGATATTGAAGAGTGTGAGAAGCATGCATCACCTTTGGAGTCACTATTTAAAGACCTAAATAACAGAGTGTTTATCTGTCTTTCCTTCCTCAGGGCGGCGGCCATAGCAGAGAGAAGTAAGTGATTGTCTTTGCTGTTATTATTGTGCTCTGACAGTGTGTACATATTCACATTGTCATGGCATAAAAGCAATCCAATTTGAAGGTTTCAGTTGCAGAATTATTATTCTGTGTTCAGTAGATGAAATTAATATGCCTGAACAAACATTTCAGACTCATTTCTTTAGAGAGAACAGATATTGATTTGGTTCATCGCATATTAAAACTTCTTGAAGCTGCAGCTTATTAAATGGTTTGTGTATCTGTAGACCGTGCTCGTGTGGTGGGCGGCCTGCCCGATGTAGTCACCATTCAGGAGGGCAAGGTAATACAATCAATCGTATATGTGCATCATATTTTGTAAAGAGTTTATTGATAATGTGGTCTGACATTTTATCCCTCTTCACCCTTTTAAGTCTCTCAACCTCACTGGCAACGTATGGGGTGATCCTGTTCCTGAGGTCGGCTGGGTGAAGAATGATAAACCGCTGTTGTCTGACAATCACCACACGCTGAAGTTTGAGCACGGCAAGTTTGCCAGCATCACCATCGCTGCTGTTACAACCGTCGACTCGGGCAAATACGCCCTGCTGGTGAAGAACAAGTATGGCACAGAGGCGGCAGAGTTTACCGTCAGTGTCTACATCCCAGAGGTTGAAGCGGAGAAGGAGTAAAGACACGCACAGAGGGAGAGAGGGGGTTAACATATGACCAGTATACCTTCCAAAGCATTTTAATTCAAAGCATGCCCACCCACAGTGCAAGATTGTACGGTTTTCCCTTAAAGAAACATTTTAAATAAACATAATTTTCCCAATGTGAGCGATATTAGCTTCTAGGCTGTTCACACTATACTTAACCCAGGGTTTAAAGGGATAGTTCATCCAAAAATTTAAATTCTGTCATGATTTAATCACCTTCAAGCTGTTTGAAGAAAACATTTTGAAGAATGTTGGTAACCAGTTGACGGTAGCCATTGACTTCCATAGTATTTTTTTTAATACTGTCAATGCCAGTGGCTACCGTCGACTGTTTGGTTACAAACAGTGTGCGTGCCATGAGGAGGCCTGTCCCAGCCACTTTGGTCCTTGTGCCCCCTCTCTAGAAATGCAAATGCTCCCCACCCCATAGTTTGTATGGACTGGTGCTGAATCTGGTTATCAACATTCTTCAAAATAAATGTTTTCTTGGCTCACAGAAGAAAAAAAACTCATAGAGGTATGGAACAACTTGAGAATTAGTATATGATGACAGAATTGTAATTTTGAGGTGAAATATCCCTTTAACATCTTTTTAATTCTGAGTTAAGAATACTCTAATGCGTTAAGCAGTGTTTCACATTTGTGACCCTTGACCACGAAACCAGTCATAAGGGTCAATTTTTCGAAAAAATAATAAATAAGCTTTCCATTGATGTATGGTTTGTTAGGATATGGCAATGTTTGGCCGAGATACAGCTATTAGAAGATCTGGAATCTGAGGGTGCAAAAAAATCTAAATACTGAGAAAACTGCCTTTAAAGTTGGCCAAGTGAAGCCCTAGCAATGCATATTACTAATCAAATTAAGTTTTAATATATTTACGGTAGGAAATTTACAAAATATTTCATGGAAAATGATCCTTTCTTAATATCATAATGGTTTTTGGCATAAAATAAATAAACTATAATTTTGACCCATACAGTGTGTTTTTGGCTATTGCTACAAATATAATCGTGCGACTTAAGACTGGTTTTGTGGTCCAGGGTCACATTTGTAATTTTAAATTTGAGGAGGGAGGTTAAGAAGCCCTGCTGCCATTCTGGCTTCAAAACTATACAGTGTGAATTGCTAACCCAGGCTAATGTATGAACTGTAGGAAAAGTAAACATATTGAGGTGTTAACCTTAAAATTGTGATACCATGTGTATTTCTAATTTTATAAGCCTTATAAAATATGGTCATTTCTAAATATTGGGTTTTAAAAAGTTTGGAAAGCCCATTCAGCAACTGAAGATATGCATCTCATTGCTTTATGTAACTGCAGTGTACCTTTGTACTGCAGTTAATAATGACACTTGGGCATAACAATATTAACATGTTTTTGAATTAAAAAGCTTTGGGTCTTGCGTTATTTTTAAGCATAAACTGGAACATTAGAATGTATCTCAGATGTTGTCTCATTTTAGTTTAAATTGGTTGTGTAGTTTCCAGTGTCAATCTACTGCTTTGTGGGGGGAAAAAAATCGAATTTAACAGTAGACAACAGTGTGTTAAAGGTTACTATACCAATAATGTAATTTGGTAAACCCTTTCTCGAAAAAAAAAAAAAATATATTTATGGATAATCTCATTTGTAGTTTTATGATTTATTGTTGTATGTCTGCCGAATCTTGCTTAATGCATTTTGTGTCTTTATATGTAAACATACAAACATAGTAAAGTCAGTTGGCTCTGTTGCAAGGCAATTTAATCTGTGTAGGTTCTTTAGATAACACAGGACGAGCAATTGTTAAGGCATTGTTGTTTTGTGCTCATATCAGATATCAGCTGACACAGATCTTAATCAGAAAACCAATAGTCAGTGCTATGCAATAAATGTAATCTGTTGCAATGCAGAAAATGTGTTTCACTTGTAAACCTGCCAAACCTGGAGTGTAAGGGACCTGGCTGCACTGTGAACATTCATCAAGTGTATGAGTAAGAGCACATGTCAATCAGGATTAGAAAACGAAACCAGTTATTTACTGACAAGTAGCTGAACAAAACAATCACAAACAAACTTCTAAAAGGAAGTGGTTCTGGTGGTTATCTCGGCGAACTCTAGACTGTGCTTCGGGGAATTCTGCTGTGGCGGTCACGTGAGAGGCCTCTGTTTGAAGTGCCTCAGTCTCGTCGCGTCACGGCCAACCGCCGCCGCTGTGTGTGTGTGAGCCGCTGCCTGACCGGTTCGCGGTGGACGAACCGTACAAGTGACCCTGCGAAAAACTGCCCTCTGTTATGATACACGAGACAACCAGGAGGGCTCCGGTAGGCGCTGAGAGGTGTAAATAGTCATTGCCGTCAGCGGGACTTGTTCAGAAATGAATGAATAACGTCGGCAGAGAGAGCAGCGGACAAGCAGACGGCGACACAACGTCCAATTTCTCAACAACAACAGCTGAAAGGTAAACATTACAGAGACCATTTCTGAGTAACCATTTTGGCCAAACGTATCATATAAACGTATACAATACCTATTTTAATGACACAAACATACATTTGATAGCATAGGGATGTAAATGTCAGTTTAGCTGGTTGGCTAGTCGAGCTAACGTTAACCGGAGTGGTAATGTTAATGTTGATGCTCTGACAGGAACATTCCCTGTAACCCTGCATGACGTTTAAACCAAACCATAACGGCATTGTTTTATCTATTTATTCATTTAGAGCTGGCTAATGCTACATTTTGTCTAAAAATGTCACTTGAATGTTGAGTTGTTGTTGTGTGTATCAAAAACACTAGCTACAGTTTCACTAAACAGCAGCATTATCATGTCATTGCACTGGCCAACAGGAGTTTTGCACACTGACCATTAGTATATGAATGGTTGCTGTTTAAAAAAGAACATTTTATTTTGTTCAAATAGTTATTTTCGACTCCTTAATAAGAAAAATGACAACAGTCATCACTTCCTTTCCTGGCAAATAAACTGTTTTGCTTTAATAACTGCTTCAAACAATGATGACTGTTAAGCAATAGCAGGCTTATACTGTACAGTATTAGTGAGCATTAGTGCTGATAAAGACGGCTGTACTCAAACTTATCTGAACTTGTTTACAACTGAGCAAAAGCACTTTTGATTTCGAAGTCAATTAATGCAAGTCACCATGTTAACTTTTTTCTTGGAACCGCATTGGGTTACCTTTTATAGCCTTGAGTTATGTAACATGACCATTTGAAATATCTTAGTAGCTGTTATCATGAATGCTTTATGTCTGTCCTGATTGACAATCGTCACGTTGTTTACTACTAAATGAAAATGAAACCTCAAGGGTGTCTGAAGATTTGAGGAACTGAATATTTTGCATATTTTGACTTTTCAAATTTGCTTTGGCTTTGAGATAAATCTATAACTTTTACAGTAGGAGAGAATGCGTAAGACAGCTCATTTCCGCTGGCTTGTTTGCCCTTTGTAACTGAACTTGAACTGAATCACCTTTTTATGTTATGTAAGTGAAAGACTTCGTGCTGGGCATGTTGCCTCACATCTCATTACACAGCAAAGTACAAGAAATGTAAAGCAAAGCGGGTGGTTGAACATAAGAGTTAGCTGCTATTTAGTAAATGCTTCATTCAAAATGACTCCCCATTACATAATTTGACTGTCCCATTGGTGTAAAATGGACAAAGCTGTGCTGCTCAAGGTCAAAGGGTCAAAGTTTGTGGTTTTGGGGGAAGTCGTGGCCTAATGGTTAGAGAGTCGGACTCCTAACACAAAGGTTGTGGGTTTGAGTCTCGTGGGTTGAAGGTGGGGGGAGTGAATGTACAGCGCTCTCTCCCATCTTCAATACCACGTCTGAGGTGCCGCAGCAAAAAAAAAAAAAAAAATGGCTGCCCACTGCTCCGGGGGTGTGTTCACGGTTTGTGTGTGCACTTTGGATGGGTAAATGCAGAGCACTAATTCCGAGTATGGGTCACCATACTTGGCCACATGTCACGTCACTTTCACTTAAAGGAATAGTTCACCCAGAAATGAAAATGTACTCACCCACAGGCCATACAAGATGTAGATGAGTTTGTTTGTACATTTGAGAAATGTAGCATTACATCACTTGAACTTGCATCAAACAGGTGATGAAAACATCAAAATAATCCACACTACTCCAGTCCATCAATCAACATTTAGTAAAGTGAAAATCTGTGTTTGTAATAAACAAATCCATTAATATGACATTTTTAAAACTTCAAACTTTGCTTCCAGCTAAAATATGAATCCTCCATCCATAATATTGCTTTCTGAAAAAGAGAAATATGCACAGATCAAGGTCTGCATTTACATTCAAAAACAGTTCTAAACAAATATGCATGTTGATGTGAGCAGACCAAATGAGATGGACTTTTTCACTGGAGGAAATGTTTATGGACCTGTATTTTGGCCAGAAGCAACAGTTTTAAAACGCATTAAAGATGGGATTTGTTTCTTACAGACATGCAGCTTTTCACTTCACATTATGATGTTAGTTGATTGACTGGAGTTGTGTGAAATACTTGTGGATTATTGTGATATTCTTATCAGCTGTTTGGACTTCTGACTGCACATTGTAGCGCAAAATTTCCCCAAATCTGTGTCGATGAAGAAACAAACTCATCTACATCTTAAATGTTTTATGCAAATGTTAGTTTTTTTTGTGAGCTATTCCTTTAACTGACTCATTTCCTTGCTCACGTTTTAGGACTTAACCTGCAGCTTTGTGTGAGCAACACGGTACATTAATAATTTTGATATTCCCACCCAAGTAGCCTTAAATTCTTGCAGGTTTTTGCTTGTTTATTGTGCTTCATAATTACAGTCTAGCTTAAGAATAACTGTTAGTGGAGTTTTTGTGTACAGTTAGTTATGACTATGCAAAAGTCATGCAGCCTTAAAGGTCAATATCCTTTACTACTTGGTCTGCTGTCATGGCAAATTACAAACTTTTTGTACTACACCTAATATTTTCATTATACAGCAGTACTGATTACATATACACGTGCCCTCTGTAATTAGAGGCGTTCCCGGAGAGACCACAGATACACAAACCAATTTGATTCTGCATTAGGTCTTGTTTGTCTGTTAAACAGAGCAGGTGAACATACAAACCTTTGAACATCTTGGATTAGCGTGCATATATATTAGGGCTGGGTGATATAGCTAAAAAATGTATCAACGAGATAATGTTTCATATCTTTCGGTATCGATAATTATTGACTTTTTTAATAACCTTTTTTTTTAAAACAAAGAGCAATAGAATAAAAAAAAAAATGTAACCACTGTATTTTAAAATTAACCCAATTTGAGACAAACAACAAATATTTTTGTTTTAACAGTCAAGCACACAATAAAAATTAAACAAATATCTCATTTCTAATGTTTTATATGCAGATTAAATCGGTTTTAAGGAAACTTTTGTCTTGTCTCCCGAGGCCACAGGAGAGCGCAATGAGCAAAATAATGCAGCACATTTAAATTGTAAACACAAGGAAATAAGTCTAT